CACTCACTTGAATCTGTTTCTCATTAGAACTCCGGCTTATTTTTCTAGCATTCTACTGCTTTAATTTTCTACAATAACCTTATCTCCCCAGACTAGACATTGTCTTTTTCTAATGCAGCTATTTTTTCCCTACTATGACTTAGTAAAGCTATTCTGTAAAATGTACTTGATTGCACAAATCTTGGGTACCTTTATTTGGAGATAATAATTTCTCTAAAATGGTCTGAATAGCTTTCAAAACTTGGAAAAGTGGTTTGACCTAGGCCAGAGACATCTGCTTCTTTCCTGCTTCTATGTTCAGAGAGTACCTTCATGATCTAACACTGGTGTTGCCTACTGGATATGAAAAATGTATATATGATGAACCCTAGATGCAGAATGTATGGATGTAAAGGATGAAGGTATAGAAAAATAATGGTGATTGGAGAGGGAGGGTGCTTTGTATCATTATTATAATTCTCATGGCAGAGCATGGAGGTAAAATAGACAGTTAAGTTTGACAGTAAGGGGATTTCTATTTTTCTACAGATAATAACTGGTTTATTTTTCCAGTAACGTGCATACAGAGTGGAAGCTTCACACTGCCGTGTTTTCTTTATTAACTGAATTAAAATCACTGGTAAAATAATCTTTAGCTTTCATTGCAGCCTCTGCCCAGCTTCCTGTATACTTTGCCAACAATGATATTACTTTAAAAAAAGTAACTCCCTGAAACATTTTTTCGGTATCATGGCATTTATAAATACTTCCATAGCTACTGGAAGAGGTAATAAATATCTGTATTTATATGTCATGTGTTCATCTGTTTTATCTCAGTATATTTAAAAACAAAAAACAACAAAAAAAAAAACAACCTAGTTTTGTGATGGTTTGCTGCAGTGGATTATAATTGCTGAAAGAACCATGAAGTTATACAATTAAAGAGTAAGCCAAATTGGGAGGAGAAAAAAAAACAACCCAAACTTATTATATTTTTCCTGGGTTGATGTCCTCTCAAAACAGAGGGAAAGTGTACTAAAAGTAGCAAGCAAAGAGAGCTGGTTGGAAGTGAATTTTTGCAGTGAGATTGTTTACTTCTTTGCTTGTTTGTCTTATGTGAATGACTAACATTTTTCATTGTTTCCTCAGTAATTAAATCCTAATTGCTTGTGGTCATTTTTCAGGGGAAGAGCACTTCCCATCTGATTTGTATCTGATTTGTTTGTTTAAAAAGCCCTTCAGAGAACTGTCAGAATTGGGGTTAGCTAACTTATTTATGCTTTACAGCCACTTTCTTCCTGGCAGGCTGTTTGGAGACCAGGCAAGTACAACAGGATGTTTATACCATCAGTCTTCTGTTATCCAGTATAGTGAAAGACTTTAAAACCTCAAAAAACATAAAAATTCTGACATCATATAAATCAGAGGGAGTGCTGAAATAGGATACGTTAAAGAGCCATCTTATGATGCCAGAAGAGCTTATATCTATAGTTGAAGATGTGTAGAGAAGGTGGAGTCGGGCTCTTTTTCAGTGGTGCCCAATATAGGGCAGGAGGTTCTGTCTGAACATGAAAGAAATTTCATTTTTTTTTATTGCACGGTTGTCACAAGATGCTCAGAGATGTTGTGAAATCTTAATGCTTGGAGATCATCAAAAGTCATCTGGAAATGGTGAAATGGTCCTGGCTCTGGGTGATCTTGTTTGAGCTGGGATCAGACCCAATGACTTCCGTAGGTCCCTTCAACATTAACCATTCTGCAATTCTGTGCTTCTGTAATGATTAGCTTTATTTCCAGGTCAGTATTGTAGCACCATGTAGTGGAAGGTCTTACAGTTTGCAGCATTGTAACAATCTGTAGATGTTTGTGAACGTTAACTAATAAGACTGGATGAAGTTACAGTAGCTGTGCTAGAATCACCCTGACTACACATAGAGCCAGATCAGGTTTTTGAAACTGTGACATTTCTCTATAACCTAAACAAACCATTCATTGATTGTGTGAAGATTATGGCATTTCTGGATTGTCTAGATTAATCTAGTATGTGAGTTAAATGGAAGTTAAGGACTTGGTACTAGAAAGAGTGTATCCTGTATTTTTTTCATCATACAATTCTATCAATATGTCATTATTTATTTTGCTGTTGTGATTTTTGCCATTCTAAGCAGTATCGCAACATCATTAAATAAACAAAATTTTCTTGTCAGTATGTTCATAAACTGATTTTTGGGATTGCATAGATCCAGTTGTTCTTTCTAGTAAATACTTCAGTGTCTTAATTCAGATTGCCATCCCTGCGTGCCAGATATTTTTCTTTGTACCAAATTTTGGTGACTTCACAAAGAAAACAAACATGAAATTAAATGGATATGACTTAGTCTGTGTTATACAATTTTATCATTCTATTGTGATTTTTTATTCATATCTGGCAGGAAAAAAAAGTGAGTGTTTGCTTGAGAAGAAATGCCGTTGGGCGCTGGCTTCTATTCAGTAGATATTTCTTCTTTTTAACTAGGAGAAACTATAATGGTAGAGGGAAACAAAATAAATTTATAGTGTAGAATGTCAGTTTATTGGTTGGTAGACAATGTTTTAAGTTTGTTTCAATGTATTGATAAATGATACACTTGTTTTTATGAAGTAGTGGTATTTTAAGTAAATAATTAGGTTTATTAATGCTTTTTATCTGGTAATTGCTAAGTATACTTTTATTTGGAATAAGCAAGCTGTAAAAGAATCTCTACTGTCTATTTTACTCTATAAAAAATTTAAACAAAGCAATCTCTAGAATTTGTTTTGGAAATTTCATCTACTTGGAGAGGTAATGAAAAACACATGCCTTTGCGACTTTGGAACTTAAATAGCTTATGACAATGGTATCTTGCAAAATGTCTATCATGTGCAACTCCTTTTTTAAACATTCTTACTCTGTTCTTGTACCATGTTAGGTTTAATCTGCTGGGGTTCTTCCATCATTTTGTGGCTGCACAAATATTTATGTCAACTTAAAAGAAGAGGTAATCAGGATCTGGGAATGTGTGAACATGGTAAAAATCTGCTTTAGGTGCCAGAATGGGTCTATGCCAGCACATGCTCATACCCAAATCCTAAAGAATGTTGAGCATTGGGCAATCCCAGGGAGAAAGTAGATCTTTTGTTAAGATAAATCTGTAGATCTGCATAGCTCTGTTAGCCAAACTAAGAGCCAATTGTTAGAAGAATTTTCAAAGTCTGTTGTTTGCTTCTGCTGTCATGTGGCCTTAAAGAGCTAAATTTCAAGTCACAGTATTCCTTAAGTTCATGCCCTGCAAGCTGAGTGCTTAAGTAGCTGAGGTACCAGGATCACAGCTTGCTGAAGGAACCTGAAGCAGATATTTTTTTTAAATCCAGTTTAGGTGAATGGATATGCAGAGCCAATGTCCAAAGATCACAGCAACCAGTCAGAAGAATTAATAGAGGAAAATCTACAGGCATGTAGATTTATCTGGTTATGATTCAGTCTGCAGTCAGGCGGTTTTCCTGTGCTGGAAAACATGAAGTAGTATTTTGTTAGAGAGGATGGGGAAGTTTAGGTGGATTGTACTATTGGTCAGAATCACTTGTGTTTCTTATTTTGTGTCTTGTAAAATACCAATCAGTTTTCCTTTTGATTTTGTTTATAAATTCAGATGCTCATATATAACCTCAACTGCCTCTCAAAATATTTGGAAAAAAGACAGCTTTACATTAAAAGATTGCTCATTGTACAGACTTCGGGGTAATAACTGTTATCTACCTTTTCTTTTATATCCATGTGTTCTGAAGAGAAAAGGAAAAATGCAAAAATAAAAAAAAAATCGCTAATCTTTGCTTGATACTTTGATGTTATAATACTTTTTTTAATGGTTCTTCTGTTCCAGGCACCATACAAATCTCTTTAGTGTTTGAGAGCACTGTCAGTAAAGTTTAAATTCTTTGGACTACTTTCAGTCCTTTAATTTAGGTTTTGATTCCTTTTTTAGTTCAGGATACATAAGCCAGCCAGGGAACTGGAAATATACCATCAGATGAATTTTGATTTGGAAGATGATAGAAGAGCTTTTAATGATCTAAGAATGAACTCCAGTTGCTTGTTAAGAACTATAGCATCTGGGCATCAATGTCTCAAAGAAGACAGGCTTCTCTTAAATCATTATACAACTGTAATGAAAATTCTCTTCTTCCTCTGGTCAGATACAGTCACAGTATAGTTTGAGGGAAACTACAGCATGAGATTTGAGTGCTAGTGATCCATTTGGTAGTTCTACACTTTTACAGCCATTGCTAAAACTGTATAGTCAATTCTCAGCATCTTCCAATTTACTCATCATCAGTGCTCAGCATTGTCCAGTTTTTCACTTCTGACTTAAATTTCTCTTGCTCTAAATTCCATTCTTTGGGTTGTGTTACATCTTCACCATATCAGAGTTGCTCACTATATGGTATAGTTTTTCTGGCAAGTACTTATCTCTGTAATCAATCTTCATTTGGCAGAATTCTTTGTATCTTTTGCTATTGGGTGCATTTTCAGGTCTTTATTCATATGTGTGACTAGTCCTGTATCCAATTTATGTGTGTCTGGTGACTGTATATTTACAGCTCTGTTTAAAATATTGTATTTAATAAAATCTTTTATAGCATGTGAATGTATGCATGCATATGTCATAACATCCTACCAGCTCTGCTGTTATTAGCAAAGCTAAATCTTTTGTTTCCTCTTATTATTCCAGTCTGACATACCTCTACACAATCTTTTCCTCTCAGCATGGAATACTTTCTTTCTTTATCCTCTGTTTTCAGTAAAACCACTGAAAATCTGGTCATGTGGTCTTAGAAGAAAAATGTTAATTACTGCGTTGACATTTTCTTTTCCATCATCATTTGCAGATCTTTATTTGAGAACCTGCATCTGCATTCTGGACTTCATGGTGTAATACAAAATATGCTGTGCTGAAAATGTGTTTGTTTCTGACTCTAATGGAATGTACTTTTTATTTTTACAGAATACCAAGCTGCCATTTTGCATTTAAAGAGGGAACACAAAGAAGAAATCGAAACACTAAAGGTATACTTCTGTAATATTTTTTCTATTTCCCTGTCCATGCTTTCTATGGATTTAAATAGTGCAACATATACTTTCCATCAAATGTTAAAAAATTCTTTTTTTCTAAAGGTTATTTTTGGTTGACTGTAAACTCAGAATTAATTATAATCTATGCAAGTACTAACAGTTTTCTTATTTCCTCTTCATAATTTTGCTTATTTTTGTTCTCACATGACACAGAGGACAAATTCTCCCCTATGTCTCAACAGTACTTTTACATTTGCTTAATATTTTAAAGCACTGTTATTTACCTGCTCAGCCTTTGTCAGCAAAACATACTTCTGTAAAAAAACAGTTTTATACAGTGTAAAATTGAAAGTCATTTTAGCCTGAAAAATTAGCACAGTAACTGCATTTGTGAGACTGCCTGGGATTTTGTATTGTGTCCTCTTTATTATGCCTATTTTTATGAATGTAGGCTTGACCAACTGTCTAATTGCCAACTTTTAATATTAGAACACACTTTCTCTTGACATGATTAACTCTGCTAAGCGAGGTAAAGATAAAAACAAGGTGATCTTATCATAAAAGTAGGAATTTAAATGCCAGTGTAATAGAAAATGAATTTGTTGAGCAGTCCTACTTTCAAGAAATAATAATGGCATTTTCCTTCTCTCACCAATTGTTAAATATTTTAAAGCATCATTGCGTCAGTTCTAATAGAGCTCTGTATTACAGAGTATTTACATCTGTGTCTGCACAAAAGCTGGGGTGTAATAGTATAAAGCCTTTGAAATGGAGAAGTGTGAGTTCTTTGAGTAGGTGGGGTGGAATGGTGGTAGCAGCTGGTGTTGTAGAAAGAAGTGCTCTGCAATAAGCTCTCTGCTCTGCTACAGTGAAGTACATGCTTTCCTAATAAGCATCTGTTAAAATTCAGCACAGGGAAATGCAAGCTTGCACTGGATCTAAGAAAAGATATAATGTGCAATAGACATTTAAAATAATAACTCTTACAAAGAACAGTGTAACTCTCTCACACAAGGACAGTGCATAGATGGAAATGGTATGTTGTTTTTGAGAGGGTGTTTTATAGACACAGGCTTTGTGTGAGAAAATGTGTTTGCGCATCTCCAGCAAGCCTGGAAACAGTAGAGATGGAGAAGACAAGTACTGATATCAGTAGAACAAAAAACACAACAACCAAACCTGGATTATTTGGGTTTTTCTTTAGGCATCATCATGTCTTAATGTTTAGTTGTGATTCTGTGTTACCTTGCTTAGTAGTAAGGAAGCTGTGAATGGATCATTTCCAACAAATTGAATTGTGAAGTAACTTCCAGCAATGAGTACGCCATAAAATCTCACTGTTTTATACATGTAGATAAATATAATTTGAAAGGAGATTGAATTATTTGCTGTTCATGAGGTAGGAGGATAAGGCAGTGTCAATTTCTGGCATTTACTTATATTGTGTATGTTTTGTTTGGTGTTTATTTTCATATTTGTCACTGTTTTATCTCAGACTAGTTAGTTCCAACAGAAAAGGCTGTAGGACCATTCTGTAGAGCTTTTGGGTAATGGCAGTATTATACAAAATTTGTATTTTTAAGATCAGAAAAATAATACTTTTTTTTTTCCTGATGTGCAAGATGTCATTAAAATAAGGCTTTCAGAATCTCATTTTGGATTTTTTTTTTTTTTTTATTGGAAGACGTTGGAGACCTTTCACAAAGTTCTGTTTGTCAGACTAATGATTCCTAATATAAAAGGTTATTTTTTATTCTATATTAAGAAATACACACTTTATGAATGCCATGTTCCAGTTCAGTGTTTTTGGTTGTGACCTTTTTTTACTGGAAAGTCTGAATGTCTCCATTGTCTCTTCCTCTTTGCTTCTCCTACCACTGCCTCTGTACTTAGCAGAGTGCAGCTTTGATTTTTGGAGCTCAGCCCAGTAAGGCATCAGGTTCATAAAAGATGCATAGTGACTAAACTGCTGAGAAATGATGCCTTAGTATGCCATTTCCAGCAGTTAAGAGTTTACTGAAACAACATTTGCACTCAAGACATATAGTGCTGATGAATAAATGATAATATTACATGGTTCTGGGACTTCTGGATCCAGTGCCATCTGAACAGTTCTTTCTCTATATGTCTATGGCAATGACTTCCTTTTACTAGAATATGACCCTCTATAGAGGGCATCCCTTTTGTATGCCCTATAAAAAGGGCATCCCTTTTGTATGTGCAAGCATTTACAACTATTTACTTCCAGGAAGATGTAGGATACCATCTGAGAAATTTTATGTAGTACCAGTATAATAACCTATTATGTGAAAAGAATGTCAACTCTTAGTGCACTGTGTCATTTTTTACAGTGGATGAAATCTGAGAGTCAAATACTGCTTACATGGTCATGTCACTTTGGTATATGATCAATTGTTAGTTCTGTTTCCAAGCTTCAGTTTCTATTTTCATTTTGTAAGTGAACAAAATGGATGCAGTCTTCACTGTCTTTTCCCCTTCCCCCTTTTTTTATAATCTGCCCACTTTGTGAGGTTCTTTCTTCTGTATGATTTTCAAACATCCTAACAAACCCTTCCTCTGCACCTCCATTATTAGCCTTTATTATTTTCTATTTAATTTCAAAAGAATTTTTCCTAGGTTTTGAAGTTCATTTAAAAATTTTTGCCTTTCCTTGAAATTGCTTCAGTCTATCCTAGTACTTATGACAGTGAGAGGTCATGATTTTTGGTCATTCTGTATGTTAGCATCATTTTCACTGGTAAAAATGGAATGAGGAGGCCACACATTGTATACTCATCCTTGTGGTTTTTCATTATTTTGAGGAAGACAGAGTATTTTTTTTTTAAAGATTAAAAGCCTGAATTCCCACATACTACTGTACGTGTAGAATTTTACATTATAAAACTTCATATGGGACCTTACAGAGAAATTGAATTGCATCATGATTTAATGTAATAACTTGTTGCAGCTTATATGTTAAGGATGTTACAGAAAAATATGGTGATAGATATCCCAGCTGTTGGAAATGCTTGAGTTAAATTGATTTTGTACTGTGTACTGAGGGAACCCAAAACAGAATTTTCTCTGAATCTGTTCTTTTGCAAAAATGATCCAAATTCCATACTGCATATTTATGAAGAAAGTTGCTCACCTCTGTAAAACATAAGGAGTGAGACACTTACTTTTTCTTATTCCCAGTATGCCTAGAAAACCCTTCAGGAACTCTGAAAGAAACTTCTCTGTTGGTGAAGATTCTTTTAAAAAGCGCTGTTGAAAGATTAAAGCAAACAATGTCAAAATCCTAGATAAATGGAGGAAGTTAAAAAATAGAACATGATAGGGCTGTAGCAAAGAAATTTACAACGGTAGATAAGCTGAAGGAGGCGTGTGTTTTACAAGAGGATCTTCACTGGTGATTTGTTTAGTCTGATGGGGGGAGCACTGTTTATTTGGAATGAGTGGGATTTTGAGCAGTTATGCTTGTCATAGGTATTTGTTGTCCAGAACAGTTAGTCCTCAGCTATGTCAGGAAAAAAAAAGGAAGTTAGGCATTCTCTGTCCCAAGAAATAGACATGCAGGGGCTTGCAGGTGAGTGGTTTGTTTGTTCATCATCAATAGGAAGTGTCCTGTAGTTCTGTCCTGAAGGGCATATAATGTAATCTTTTATTTTTCCATTTTCTTTTGTAAGTTATATTTTTTCCTTAACTGTGTGAAGGAAATTCATAACGGTTTTTATTCTTTAAGAATTGTTCTGTAAACTTTCTGTAAAACAACTCAAAGTGGACACAGAGCTTTGTCCATACAGCCAGTGTGAAAGGGTTGTTGTTTTTCTAGGTGGCTGAAACTTGCAGGAAGTGTAGCAGTCTTGAGGGATGTAAAACACTTACAGGAAAGGAATTGAATGACATGCAGTTTGTATTTTATAGCGCTATCTTTATGTTATCACAGTAACCTGAGGCTTTATTCTTTTTTATGACACTTGAAATCAATTCTAGTCAGATAAGGTTCATAGTAATTGATGTTAAAATACTGCATCTTTATTTTATACAACGAATAACATTCAGAATAGTTCATTAATGTCCATAATTCAATTGTAACATCCTCATAAAGGTGATACATGTAAACGTTTATATAGTAGAAGTAAATGCTTAGTTTTTACACATTTAATTTTAACTACATTTACTAGTTTGTGTCCTCAGAGAATTTCGGTATTTTCTCACTTATTCTTTATTAAAACGAAAGGATGCATTTTTAAGGCCTTGAATCATTTCGTTTGTGCTGCTGAGGTGTATTTCCTGATGCTGCCACTAGATGACAGCGCAGCCTTTCCACAGCAGGCCCTGCACAAGAAAAATCTAAGTTTCTCAGTACGTGATAGTAGTCATCATCATCACAGTATTTTGCCCTGTAGAACCGTGTGCACAGTATCTAATAACCAAGGAGACAAAAATGACTAAATATGAAGTCAAAATACTGTAAAGGGACTGCTAAATTCCAAAATGAAGGAAACAATATGTGGATTGTATTAATCCAATATAAGAACTCAATGTATTATTTAAAAAACATATGGAAAAAAGTTAATTCTTTTCTCCTTCTTCCTTTTAGCACAAAGGTACCAAAAATTCTCTTATGGACAAGTTTAATGTTACTTTTGAATGATGGAATCAAAGTCTTTATGATCTTCAGTAATTTATGCATGGATCTTCTTTGCCATACAGTTTATTACATTTCCACCAACTCACTACATATTTTGCCTCTTACCATACACAGAACACCGGATTCTTTAGTTTTAAGTCACAGCTTTTTGTAAAAATAGTACTATATAAACAACATGATTATTGTTAAATAAGAAAATATAAGCATTATGCATATTGCATGACTGTATTCCACACATAAAATTATACATACACATAAATAACAATGTGTTTGATAAATAAGAAAATCCATAGATAATGCATGAATTATATAATATATGTACCATTTAATACATAGT